TGCATGTGTGATATAAAAATAAGTTAATATAGTTTTTATTACCCAGTAAATCGTAACAAAAACATTAAGCTGATATATTTTTGTTTAAAGTATTATGAATATCATATAAAATAAACTATATATTTAATATTGTATATTGTATTTATTGATTTATTAATTGCATATTCAATGACTTTTCTAAAGTAGTGAACAAACAAATTATTATAAAGTACGTAGAGTTACCCCTACTTATTCAATGAATTTAAGTATAACTTTAATGCTATAAACTAGTAAAATGTATATATTTACTTTACTTTATTGAATATTTATTGTTTTTAAGAGATATTTATTTTCTTTGATAAAAATGCTATATTTCTATTAAAAATTTAAATCCTCTTTAATTATCAATTTTAATTATATTTGCTTTATAATGTTATAAGTAAAACTTAGCAATTCTAATATATTTCCACTAAATTAACAAATATACATAATTAACAAAATAAAAAATAAATTATATTAATAATACAAAAATTTATCATCGTTTATATAAAATTTTCTTATATAAATTTAAATAAAATATATTATGAAAAAATTTCTTAGCCACAATCTTCCTTTTAATTTTTCAACTATTTAATCTCTTGACAAAAAATAAACTTTTTTGGGTATTTTTAATTTTTAAAAAGAAAAAGAAAAAAAATTAACAATTTTTTTTCTTTTTTATCTAGTGTTTACATAGATAACTATTGATTTTTTATACAACTATAACTTTCTATTCTTAAAAAGATTAATAATTCCTTTTAATACTGAATCATGTAATGTTCACTTAATTATGACAAGATATTTTTCTGAAATGACAAAAATAGAAATTATTTTAATTCTTCTTTATTAATTCATATGTTTATTATTCTAACAAAATATTTTAATATAAAATTAATAAATCAACACGTAGAAAATTTAAACCCATTTATATAAAAAGAAAGCATATAGCAGTTGAGAAATTTAAGCATAAAAAAATTTTCATTACAATTTTGTATATCGTATATACATACCTATATATGAAATTTTTTGAAGATTTATAATTTATTTATTGTAATAAAAATTTTTCCTGTGGATTCTAATAAATATATGAAATATAAAATATAAATACCCTATTATTAATTTTGTATTTTTTTTGTAAGAATACTTGATATTTTTAGTAAAAGTAATAATTTTCCTTTTTTATCATTAATTTATTTTTCCTACAAAAAAAAGAAAAAATATAAAATTTTGTTAATTTAATGTACAATGATTTTTATTTACTTTTTCATTTTTTATATATTAAAAAATTAAAAAATATAATGTATATATTCATAATATAAGCATTAATATATTAAACTGTTTTATAAATAACCTACTTCTCTTTTTTCTAAAAGTCCTATATAAAAGGCAAAAAAAAAAAATGAATATAACTAGAAAAGACATAAAAGACATTGCAAGGAGCGCAGTATTATCAAAACTATTTTTATCAGAAATATCCTTATGCTTTAATGATATCGCACGTGGATTTTTTGAATTTGGCCCTATGTTTTTTATTGGCCTTATGTCTTCCATTAGCTTTAAGCTATTTGGCTGCAATATGTGTTTATATGACCTCATGTATTTACATTGCATTAGGTCATTACATGGTATTATTTCATTTATTGGCCTCATGTCATTTTTTGGCATTATATTTTTTGTTGGAATTATGTTATTTATTGGCCTTATGTTTTTTATAACACTGATTTCTTCATATTCACATTGAAAGAATTCATTAAAAGCATGGCTTACGCATATATGTGGAGTGCATACAGGATCTAAATTCTCTTTTAAGCAACCACTGGGAATATATATATAATCTCTTTTTAAAAAAGAATTCTTATTGTAATCTAAACGAATTAAATTTCCACTATAATTCGCATCGGAACAATGCAATTCATCATTATTTATTTTTTTACATACGGTATACCTTTTATTACAATGTGAAATGTAATTTGTTTTCATATGATGGCAGTAATGTTCTTTAAATAAGAACTTATCATATTTTGATTTAATAATTTTATGATTGGGGTTTTTTAAACTAATCATATTAATATTTTTATTTTCTTTATTAATAATGTCATAAGAGTTAAACGTAAGAGTTCTTCCTAAATATTCTATATTAACGGCTTCGCATAATGTTAACTTTTGATTTATACTTCTAAGGCGGCATAAATATGTTTTATCTGGATATTGATGTTGATGTGGATTATATTCATACAGAAGCAAAATACCATCTTTATCATTATTTGAAAGAATAATTATCCTAGATTTAAAATTTGATGGAATAAATTCGTGTGTGAATAAATTTTTTGAAAGATCATTTAAATTATTATTTGAAGTCTTCTTTATATCAACTATTGGTGGATGAATTCTACAATATGATGCTTCAAATTTATTTCGATTTATTTCACATATATTCATAAAACATTTGGTGAAATCTCCTTCAGAATCTTCACATCCGTCATTATTTAAAAATGCCATTTTTTAAATTAAAATAAGGCATATATATTTTTATTTTTACTAAGATTTTTGTGAATTTTTCCTTAATAGCTTTTGTAGAATCATTTTTTTTTTTTTTAATATTTCATTTTCTTATAAATTTTATTTTACTTCTTATAAAAAATATAGTTTCTAGTACAATATATAGTATTTACAAAAATTCAAAACTCTCCTAATCTCTTATTTAAATATTAAAGTTTATGTATATTTTTTTTTTTAAAGATATGTTCCTATAAAATCTAACATTTATGGGATATATATTTTTAATACAAATTATTGTTCTGATTTTTTTTTATAGAACATAAACAAAAAATTTTTAAACTTTGTTTTATCGTAATTTTAATATAAAATAATTGTAATATTTATTCAAAGATTTTTCCAATAATAATTTATTCTTTTTAAAAAAATAATAAATAATTTTAAATATTTATAATAAAATGTTTTCTTAATTATCAAAGAAATATAAATAAAAATGGCATAATATTAGTGTTTGCAGTATAATTAAAATTACAATTATGTAATATTATGTTAAAAGTATTTATAATATAATAAAATTTATAACAGTTTCAATGTTAATAGATAATTAATAATAATATATTAATTTGTTATAACAGCTAATGTTTAGTTAAAATAAATAGAAAAAAAATAAAATTTCACATGCAATAGTATTTTTATAAGCAAATAACAATATATAAATAAAAAATAAAAAATAAAAGAATAAAATAAAAAAATAAAAAAATTCGTATATATATATATATATATATATATATTTATTTATTTATTTATTTATTATTATAATTAAATATACCTAAATTAAGTATGAATTTACATAATAATGATAATATTAAAAAATTATTTAATTCATTTTTATAATTATACAAAGAATTTAAGTTAAATATTAGTATTAAATAAAAGAGAAAAAACGAAAACATAATAGAATATTGTTAACAAAAAATAATCCTCTTAAAAAAAATTGATAAGAGAAATATAAAAACTGAAAAAAAAAAATTGAATAAAAATATAAAAATTTTTTATTTATAATGTAATTTATGTTGAAGTTATTGTGAAAAAGAGGTTAAATCCAAATTATATATGATTGAATCGTAATCTTTGACATTTGACTAATAAAGAATATTATTGAGTTTTTGAATTTATAAGATGATAAATAAAAATACAAACGAGTTTTGTGTGCATGTAAAATATTCTAAAATATATATATGTTAAAATGCCTATCTTATTAATAGATGATATTAACCTTTTGTGATTTAATAGTAAATTATGAGGAAATAAGTTATTCGTTATAATTGTTATTTAGAAAAATAGATAACTGAAAAAAAAAAAATTTTCACATCCTATAATTTTTTTTTTTTTTAGATTGTTAAATAATGCATTTGTGTAGGGGTTAAATTTTATAATCGAGTCAATTTTAGAAACCATCAAAAATTAAGTTCAAAACTTAAAAGGAAACAAAAAAAATTTAGTTTTAATTAATATTTAAATTTAATATATTTTTTAAAAATTGTTAATAACTTTAAATTTATTTATTTTAAAGTATTATTCTGAATATAATTAATAGATTTAATGATTATTTAAGCTTTTAATAAAAATAACTATGTATTAAATAAATGTCTCTAAAACAGTAAATATTGTATTGTTTAAACTATATGTCTAAAGTATAATTTATTTTAATAGAAATATATTTTTATAACAGTTAAAACTAGTAAGAACCACCATATATGCTCTTTATTATTATATTCATTCAATCATATGTCGAAATTGATGAATAGATTAATAAATCATATATACATTATACATCATGTTACACTAATATTAATATACTGATATATTGAATGAACGAATTAAGAATATGTACCTTAGTCTCTACTAGTTTTACTTGTTGTAAATGTATATTTCTATTATAATAAAGTAAAATTCATACATATAATTTACATAAAAGAATATTTATTATTTTAATGGCGCTTATTTAATTAATATAAAGTTATTTTTATTTCTATTAAAAGCTTAAATTAGCATTAAAGCTATTAATTATATTCAAAATAATATTTTAAAATAAATAAATTCAAAGTAATTAGCAACTTTATAAAAATACACTAAATTTAAGTGTCAGTAAAAATTAAATCATTCTTGTCTTCTTTTAAACTTTGAATTAAACTTTTGGTGGTTCCAAAAATTAGTGTGATTAATTAAATTTAATTTCTAGATGAATAAAAATTCCTAACAACTTAAAAAAAAATAATTTTTTTTTATTAAATTAAAATATAATAATCATAATTAGCAAATTTTATATACAACATAAAGAATAAAATTTTTCATTTTTCTTTTTTTAGTTATCTACTTAATTAAATGGAACTGTTAAACAATAAATATGTTATTTCCCATACAATTTATTATCTCTCATTTCTTAAATTTTAATTATATCTTTTACTGGCCAATATTATACAAAAGTTCTTGAACAAATTATTAACAAATCAATGCCCCAATATTTGCATTTTCTTAGGTTATTAAAGGATATCATTAAAATTTTTTAAATATTAGTAAAGTATAAATAAAATAAAAAGATAAACATAAATGTTTGACATTTTAAAAAATATTTCATATAAGTAGTTAAAAAAAAAAAATAATAACTAAATATTTTTGTTCACTAAAAAAATTTTTAGAATGAATTTATTATTTTTTGAATAAAAAATTATAGTTTATTAAAAGAATTTTTAAGTAACTTTTATAGAAGGTTACTATAGTAATAAAATTATTTCACATACAATCAATGATCTATGTTTAATGTTTAGATTCTTAAATAAGTTATATTTAATTAACTTATTTAAAAGTTTTTTAAATTAGCTGATGTAGTAGGAATAAATATATTTAGCCTTATATTTTAATTAGAAGATAGGCCATAAAATATAAGCTATATATTTCATGTTATTTAATTTATTTATATAAAAATTACATATTACTGATGAAAAACTACTTTCACAACTATTAAAATTTGTAGAGCATAGTCTACTTAATATTGATTTGTTTGTTCATTATATTCTTAATAAAATATAATAACATTCTTGGAATAACATATAGTAACTTCAAGGAAGTATATAAAACAAGTAATAAATATTCTACAGTTTAAAAAAATAAAGATTTTTACATAAAACCAATAACAAAGATTTATATTTTTAATAAAAATAAAGTTCTTTTTATTAAAGAAAATAAATTCTCCTAAAATCAATAAATTATAAAAATTGTAAGTTACATATTTTACTAGTTTGTAATGTCAATGTAATTTTTATGTATATGAATAAATATTACCTTCTTAATATATTAACGCTCATTTTACTTTAAAAAATAGTCGTATTTTTAATAAAAGTGAGTTTTTATGATTTNTAACTTTTATAGAAGGTTACTATAGTAATAAAATTATTTCACATACAATCAATGATCTATGTTTAATGTTTAGATTCTTAAATAAGTTATATTTAATTAACTTATTTAAAAGTTTTTTAAATTAGCTGATGTAGTAGGAATAAATATATTTAGCCTTATATTTTAATTAGAAGATAGGCCATAAAATATAAGCTATATATTTCATGTTATTTAATTTATTTATATAAAAATTACATATTACTGATGAAAAACTACTTTCACAACTATTAAAATTTGTAGAGCATAGTCTACTTAATATTGATTTGTTTGTTCATTATATTCTTAATAAAATATAATAACATTCTTGGAATAACATATAGTAACTTCAAGGAAGTATATAAAACAAGTAATAAATATTCTACAGTTTAAAAAAATAAAGATTTTTACATAAAACCAATAACAAAGATTTATATTTTTAATAAAAATAAAGTTCTTTTTATTAAAGAAAATAAATTCTCCTAAAATCAATAAATTATAAAAATTGTAAGTTACATATTTTACTAGTTTGTAATGTCAATGTAATTTTTACAACAATTAATAGATGTTATACATTCTCTTTTTTAATATTTTTTTTCAGTACTGTAGTCAAATCTTTAAGGACCATGCAAATAAATCATAATACTGCATGATTCCTTAAGTAGGTAAATATTAGATTAACTTTTTTAGGATAATTGTTAATAGATCTATGGAGAAAAAAATGTCATCCACACATATTCACAAGTTCAAAAATAAAATAAAGATATTTTTAATTTTTTTTTTTTGTTGCAGATTAACAGAAAAATATACTGATAGTAAAATATTTTTTTTTTTTAAAATATATTTTTATTGTGAAATATATTTTGATTTTGTTATGTTAATTAGTTATCTCTAATGAATTAAGTTTAAGTAAATTAAATTGAATTTCAATGTTTTAAAAAGAAAACAAAAGGATTTATTTTTTCTTTTTTTATTAAATTATTATATAGTATATTTTAAGATATTGTAAGCACATTGAATTCAAACTTTGCTTAAAATAAAAAAACATTTGTATTCAGATATATTTCTATGTTAAATGTAAGCTGTAAGAGAAACATTATATGCTCTTTATTAATATGTATTTCCAATACAGTAGTAAAGTCATTGAAGGGACAATTAATAAATCATATATATAATAATACTTTCTTATAATGAATAAGAAAGTTATTTTTTTCTACAAAATTTCTAGGAACATTATTTTTATATCCTCACTAACATCATCTATTTTCTGTCAAAAAGGCATACATAAATGTTTTCATATTCTTTTAACAGTCTATCATGATATAATATGTAATTAGGAAGATCATTTTAATCATCTATTGACCTAGAAATCCAATAATCTAAATTATTTGAAACTCCTCTAATGTGTTCAAATACTGAACGAAATTCGGATTGTCTAATTTCCTAGAACTAGTAGAATTAACTCTTATTATACCTATACAATTTGCTTTTATAAATACTATAGTTCCATTAATATAATAATCAAACATTTCACAAAATATTAAAAATAGTTCTTTTTCTATAGTCCTCCA